GAACTTTCACTTGTCTTATTTTAGTTCCTCAACTATCAATTTTAAATTGGGCTAAACTCCACTTGATCAGATAATGAAAATTAATGAAAAGATTTAATTAAAGTAAAATTGATAATTGATAGATTAAATTAGAAGAATTAAAATTTTACAGACTACATTAAAGCCCGAGAGAAAATTTAGGGGTCACTTATGATAATTACCAAAATCAAGTGGAGTTATAAACAAATCACGTGACTTTTTGCAAAGAATGAGCAAAAAAAGAAGTAGCCCAATTTTAATTTTCAATAAAATCGGTGGAGTGGTGTGTTAAATATTAAAAGTTTCTTGACTTTTGGCAAGTAAGGAGCAAGGTTTTGCGAAAAAAGAGAGGAGCAACGCAGTGTTAAACGCGTCAGTTGGACTGACGTGTTTAAAGAAACGTCAGTCCAACTGACGTTTGTTAGGCCCACTGTGTTGAAAAAAAAAGGTTAAAAATATCAGTTCATTTGATATTTTTAAATTTTTTTTAAAAAAAATATGAGTTTAAAAATTATTTTGAAATCTACAATTATTTGAAGCTCTTTTTTTAAACTCCGTGGGATGGGTCAAAAACTCCTCCATGGCCAACTCAAGAGTGGGGTGGACAAAACATGAACTCTAGACCCACACATAAAAAAGACCCTAAATTTTGAAGTTCAATAATTTAGTGTAGATCAAAAATTAAAACTCATTATAATTTAGTTTAACAAAAAAACTTCTAAAAGATTAAGTCAAAATAAAATTTAGAATTTAGAGTTTAGATTTAAAAGTGCAGTCCACCTCACAAATATACATTACACATACATATTTATTAAAGAACAAAAAAAGTTAACACCTTAATAAAAAAAAAAGTATAATAAGTATCTCTTTTTCACAAATTAAAATAAATCAAACACATTTTCTATTTATCTCAAACTCAATTTTGTTCTCATTTCAATACAAAAATACCAACTAATTAAATTGTTCATTCTCATAAAGGATCTACAATAAAACTAATTAATATTAAAAAAATCGATAAAGTTATTATGAGAGAAAATAAAGCACAACAAAACAATAGGTGAGCGTTACATATATAAACAAGTTATGGATCATAAAAAATAATAAAATAATTCAATAACAAGATAACAAAAAATTATGAATATAAACTTATAGTCAATAATCTAATATGACAATTTTAATGAAGAACATACAAAACAAATAAGAAGAGCAAAAAAATAATAATAAAATAATATATTATGTTCCGAAAAGTGCGGTTCAAGTAAGAGATGAGAGAGATAAATAGATGTACGGATATGTTTGCTAAAAATTATGTACTTAACCATGATGACCTATGCATATTTTCAATTCCTACAGATTTTACCATTGAACAATTGCACTCATATAGTATGAGTATGAAATAACACATATCTAATATTTATTATATATTAAATGCCAAAATTACTAAAAATAAAAATTATGCGACACTACGTTATAACATTGAACATCTTTACTATGACAATATCTCTTGTAACGGCCCACGCATTATTTTTGACAAATTTAAAAAATGTATAAAATATAGAGTAACACATATTATCTTTAATCTTTATGCGTCATCCGTTGATTAATTTGTCTCACTTTATTGGTTCCATAGACGAAGACTCGATAATAAGGTGCAAATAGAAACTACAATTGTTATGAGATGCACAAATACTTCGATCATTTGAATGGAAGGAGACATAGCAGATCTAAACATTAAAATAGTCTCATAGAGTCCTAATTTAACTTTCGGCCATTAGATCAGCTTCATATTTTGAGACCCTTTTAAATAGACTAAGTTTCTTTTTTTTTTTTTTGGTGAAACTCGATAGTATGAGAAAATTTTATTGATTAAAAATTATATTACACCTAGTTAAGGGGATATGCACTTTACCTTTTGATGAAATCTAATTATAATAATTAAGGAATTAAAAAAATTCTAATGCATGATAATTACACGAAAATAAAATAATAGATAATTCTAAAATGCTAAACTTCTTAAAAATCCTTCAAAGATGATGAATCATGTCCATATAAGGCCCAATATATTTCACAAATCTATCTAAAACTTTATAGAAAGTTTTAAAATGTAACAATATTTTCACAGGTCTATATATATATAAAGTCTTAAAATATAACAAAACCTTCTAAAAAAATCTACAAATAATGATTTTTAACTTTAAAAGTAACAGTCTCTCTCAAATTCTTTTTTACTATTTTTTCCTCTACTCTCACCATCTATTTCCAACTTTTTCTCTCCCTCAAACTCTCATCATTGTCTTGTTTTGGTTCTTTCTCCTTCTCTTTAACTCTGCTGTTGTCTCTTTAAGATTTCATTCAATTTATTCATCTATAAAATCTTGACTTCATAATTGCACCCAATTTTTTATTTAATCGCACCCAATCCCAAAAGCACTAAAATATTGAAAATAAATCATACTGCAACTCTCTATTAAACGTCTAATAATAGTTAAGAAAATTTACTACTTAAAATATTCAATGAGATCTTATGTAAAATATTCGCTTTAGGCCTCAATTTGCGTTGAGAAGCCCTTGGTATGCTCACCCAGCCACACAACGGAAATTGGCCAACAACATCCTAATTATTAAAAACTTCCCTAGCAAGAATTGTCTTCCCAACGCCTTTCGCTCCAATGATCGATATCAGTCCACGATCCACCTCGTTTTGGAGCAACTGTGAAGTAACAAGTAACAAGCTGCACATCTTACTCTAAGCCAACAAGTGGTCCATCAACTCCCACTCGGTGTCCCTAGTCATGAGTTCTTCGGCCTGATTCTCAATGAGCTTGAAACCCCTTCAGTCAGACAAACGATCGAATAGGTCACCCGCATTCTGTATGAGTTCCAATGCATCATTGGCCAATTCGCCTGATCCTCCCAAAAAAGAAAGTAGCTGACCCAATCTTCTCAAGCTTCTTTCACATGTCTCTTTGACACCATGAGACACTAGCACTTGCGAATCATGTTGACACCATTTCAGAATGTGGTCAAATTGGTACCAAATTTCATTGATATATTCCTTAATTTTAGATCCCATCACCATAACTTCTGGTACCACCAACTTCTTCTTCTTCAAGGAAGCATTGGACGTTTAACGAATGCTGTCAGCTTCGTTACCGAAGCGAGCATTGGGCGCTGTACAAGAGTTTGGTATTCATTTCCTAGCCCTTGGTATTTGATGGTGAACCAATGGTTGAACCTTGAAGCTGTATAGAGAAAAAGATCATACTTACTAGAATTAGAGTTAGGTTGGTATTCATTGTCTGATTCATCACACTCTGATGATATCCTTTTCCTTTATCAACTGAGACATCACCATCAACCTGATGATTCTCCACTAACTTAATACCATCTGCATGATGAAAATACACCTGAGCTACCCTATTTTGATTCAAATTATGTGCCATATCCAAAACCTATTCATTTCTAATCATATGTACTAGCCCTTTGCGCAAATCCATACCAAGAATTCTATAATAATATGTATGGAGCATATCCAAGAATAGAGGTTATATCATCCATTTCAATAAGCGACATCGAGTTAACATCACATTCATCTATGTAATCCATTTGTCCTCCAACGTAAACCTTGTTTGGCTTCTCCCTAAATTCACCACTATGGTGAACCTCCATCGAGAAAAGTGAATACTCAAGTCCTGTACAAATATTGTCAAAAAAATCTAAAATAAACAACTGGTTTTCAAGGACCACATCAACTATAAAATATTGCAACTAACATATAAACTATTAACAAAGAATTTCCAATGCATAAACAAATGGTTTCGAACAAACACATAAATTATATAATATTGAATACTGACTTTTAAAGATTAGGCTTACCCATGAACCTTACACTCTAATCTATAAGAATGAGTACATACCATAATGGGGAATGTCTTCATCCGCATATTGATTCCCAGTCTTCCTTCTTTTGAAACATATCATCTTTGTGCTTTGCCCTAATCATGTTTTGCCCTAAATGAAATCAAACATGTTGCAAAACAAGTGAAACATTGAAGAGTCTCCTGATCAGTTTGTCTAACAGGAATGGGAGGAGGGTTAAATGTCATATAAGCCTCTCACCTGTGGTCACGTGGATAACACATGGCTATAAACCGTGAGAATTGTGGAAGGCGTCAATGGCGGGGACTAGGTAAGTGCACATGTAATACATGAGGGACCAACTTGATGCAATTAGAACGTTGGGATCAAAATAGATAAAATACATACTTTGGAGACCATAGCCCCCCCCCCCCCCCCCCCCCCCCCCCCCCCCCCCCCCCCCCCCCCCCCCCCCCCCCCCCCCCCCCCACCCCCCCCCCCCCCCCCCCCCCCCCCCCCCCCCCCCCCCCCCCCCCCCCCCCCCCCCCCCCCCCCCCCCCCCCCCCACCCCCCCCCCCCCCCCCCCCCCCCCCCCCACCCCCCCCCCCCCCCCCCCCCCCCCCCCCCACCCCCCCCCCCCCCCCCCCCCCCCCCCCCCCCCCCCCCCCCCCCCCCCCCCCCCCCCCCCCCACCCCCCCCACCCCCCCCCCCCCCCCCCCCCCCCCCCCCCCCCCCCCCCCCCCCCCCCCCCCCCCCCCCCCCCCCCCCCCCCCCCCCCCCCCCCCCCCCCCCCCCCCCCCCCCCCCCCCCCCCCCCCCCCCCCCCCCCCCCCCCCCCCCCCCCCCCCCCCCCCCCCCCCCCCCCCCCCCCCCCCCCCCCCCCCCCCCCCCCCCCCCCCCCCCCCCCCCCCCCCCCCCCCCCCCCCCCCCCCCCCCCCCCCCCCCCCCCCCCCCCCCCCCCCCCCCCCCCCCCCCCCCCCCCCCCCCCCCCCCCCCCACCCCCCCCCCCCCCCCCCCCCCCCCCCCCCCCCCCCCCCCCCCACCCCCCCCCCCCCCCCCCCCCCCCCCCCCCCCCCCCCCCCCCCCACCCCCCCCCCCCCCCCCCCCCCCCCCCCCCCCCCCCCCCCCCCCCCCCCCCCACCCCCCCCCCCCCCCCCCCCCCCCCCCCCCCCCCCCCCCCCCCCCCCCCCCCCCCCCCCCCCCCCCCCCCCCCCCCCCCCCCCCCCCCCCCCCCCCCCCCCCCCCCCCCCCCCCCCCCCCCCCCCCCCCCCCCCCCCCCCCCCCCCCCCCCCCCCCCCCCCCCCCCCCCCCCCCCCCCCCCCCCCCCCCCCCCCCCCCCCCCCCCCCCCCCCCCCCCCCCCCCCCCCCCCCCCCCCCCCCCCCCCCCCCCCCCCCCCCCCCCCCCCCCCCCCCCCCCCCCCCCCCCCCCCCCCCCCCCCCCCCCCCCCCCCCCCCCCCCCCCCCCCCCCCCCCCCCCCCCCCCCCCCCCCCCCCCCCCCCCCCCCCCCCCCCCCCCCCCCCCCCCCCCCCCCCCCCCCCCCCCCCCCCCCCCCCCCCCCCCCCCCCCCCCCCCCCCCCCCCCCCCCCCCCCCCCCCCCCCCCCCCCCCCCCCCCCCCCCCCCCCCCCCCCCCCCCCCCCCCCCCCCCCCCCCCCCCCCCCCCCCCCCCCCCCCCCCCCCCCCCCCCCCCCCCCCCCCCCCCCCCCCCCCCCCCCCACCCCCCCCCCCCCCCCCCCCCCCCCCCCCCCCCCCCCCCCCCCCCCCCCCCCCCCCCCCCCCCCCCCCCCCCCCCCCCCCCCCCCCCCCCCCCCCCCCCCCCCCCCCCCCCCCCCCCCCCCCCCCCCCCCCCCCCCCCCCCCCCCCCCCCCCCCCCCCCCCCCCCCCCCCCCCCCCCCCCCCCCCCCCCCCCCCCCCCCCCCCCCCCCCCCCCCCCCCCCCCCCCCCCCCCCCCCCCCCCCCCCCCCCCCCCCCCCCCCCCCCCCCCCCCCCCCCCCCCCCCCCCCCCCCCCCCCCCCCCCCCCCCCCCCCCCCCCCCCCCCCCCCCCCCCCCCCCCCCCCCCCCCCCCCCCCCCCCCCCCCCCCCCCCCCCCCCCCCCCCCCCCCCCCCCCCCCCCCCCCCCCCCCCCCCCCCCCCCCCCCCCCCCCCCCCCCCCCCCCCCCCCCCCCCCCCCCCCCCCCCCCCCCCCCCCCCCCCCCCCCCCCCCCCCCCCCCCCCCCCCCCCCCCCCCCCCCCCCCCCCCCCCCCCCCCCCCCCCCCCCCCCCCCCCCCCCGAATATATAAGTAATCCCTAACCTAACTAAGTATCGAATCACTTATCCTATAAGCACACAAACCCAAGAATATTGAAGCCTAGAGTTCTTCTAACATATATCTAGATCTCAAGTAGGTAATCCAAACCTACAGCTCCCATATAAGACCTAATTCATAAGATCTGATAGCAAATCTTTAATGCACCATTTTCACATTTAAAAGCATTAACTACCTATACATCATCCAACCATGAGAGCATACTAAATGAATCATTAAAAGAATAAAATCATCATTTATCTAATAGATAACTGACTTGATCTTAATTGTACACCCAAGTAAAAGTGGTCAAGTTGTAGTATTACTCGATTAAGTCTGAGGTTGAATTCACAGAGAGTTATCTATTGGAACTCAAAATAGAAAAAGTAAGATTACCGTGAGTATAGTGTGCATTACAACAGCTTGTGATGTGACTTAGAACTGATAAGTAAACACTTAAACTAACTTTTGATTACAACAATTGAAAATGCTACTCTTTAGTTTGGGATCCAATATGCTTCTATTGCTTGAGATTATGAATATGTCATCTTACAATAATTAACTCCCATATTACTGGAAAGTTAACCGGTAGGTTTGTTGTGTAAGTTGAACCATATCACAACAACTGTTAAGTGAGTTGAAAGGTCTATGCACCTTGCAACAACCAATTAACCCTAGTAAACCCGAAGGTGAACCATTTAAAAGGTTTACTATAGCTAATCAATTGGTAGGTCTATGATTCAATAAAGAAGGAGTTCCGATTTATGAATTGAATCAAAAGTAGTAGCTATGCCAAGACTTAACCCATCTATAAAAAAATCTCATCTCCCTATTATTACATAAATCCCAACTATGTGTATTTATTGTATCATGCATGAAGTACATAACAACGTATATATGAAATGGTATATAAAATTTTAGCTTGATACTCCTAACCATGAGTATATAGTAATACAATACCAAACAAAATGTAAATCATCCATCTTTTTAAGGAAGGTATAAACATTAAGATATAGATAAAACAATGGCATTTCCATTACTCAAACAATAGTATACATGTCTTCACCCTTTACTAAAGAGCATAAAAGGACTACTCACTCTCCATTGCTATAGAAAAGCAAAAAGGGTAAGACAATCCCATTACAATACTATGCAAATACAAAACAAAACACAAAGAATCCTTCCACGAGGAATAGTTGAACCACTGTCACTCTTATTACCAAACTATGAGAGAACAT